AATGCCGCAGTCCATCGGCCTAACTCGTCGCGGATTAATCCCCCTGCGCAGCTCAATCCCGTGTGCGTATCAATGGCACCATCGGTATTAATTTTGATCCAGCCCGGACAAGGAGGTGACCACCCGATCATTTTAGTGACGTGCACGGCGGCGCCAACTCGTGCATAATCCGCCATCGCACGCTGATATGTTGATGTCATTCTCAACACTTCCAGCTGCCGGACTTCCACACTAATTCTCGTGCGTTTAAAGATTCGTTCATTGCGCCATAGCCACGATCGCCAAGCTGCCAAAGCAAATTTGTTGCTCCACGTTGCAACTGCGTCCCCCCGCCTGGGAGATAGATTGACTCGCAGCCACTGCTTAAGAGGAAGACTAAAGAAATTCCGGTCGTGGCCAGGTGGCAATATATGTTGCCAAAGGCTCCGGGTAGGTGGGCAATCCCGGATGACGTGAAGGGTCGTCTCCAATTCTCTGCACAGCTCACAGTTCCCGTCTCCCGTTAAGTGCCACCGCGAGCGTTCCACGTTGGTGAGAAGACGCTCTTTAGCAGCTAACCACAAAAACATGCGCGTGCGTTGCGGGGCGGGTGTTCGCCAAATGATATTTCACAGTGGACGGTCCTCGTCGCGCTCAGTAGCAGCCAAAGACCTGTAAGCCGAATTTGTGGAGAAGTTGCCATTCTCAGAGTACTTCCAAACGATACGATCCGCTCCAGCCTCTGCTCGTGGTGGAAGCGTGCCCGCGATCCGGAGTACGACAGACGAGGGAAGGATGCCGTGAAATCTCTGCCAAGTCCATCCTCCTGTAGAGTCCACAAACTCAACCACTACAGCATGAATGTTAACCGAGTACAACTGGGGGCTAAGAAATCTTGCTAGCGGCCCATTAGCGGCCCGCAAGACACAATGTCTCCTCGATGTAGTCCCACCTTAAATAGTCATACGCTTTTTCAAGGTCCACTTTAATGACCATGAATCCTGTAGGTCCCCGTTTCCCTCGCATCGTATGGATCAATTCCTGTGCGATGATAATATTTGTTCGCCTATATTTTTAAAGCTCTACCGCAAGTGTACGGCTTCACTCGTAGTATGTGGCAAGCAAGGTCGTATCTCAAGAGACCAAACAACCAATTAATCAAGTACTAGATTATGATAGTGCCAATTTTATCTAGACAACCGAATATAAGAGTGATTAACTAAACTAAGAAAATAATTCAAAAGATAAGAAATCGATAACAAAAAAACAACTAGAAAAACACTTAGGAAGAATATAAGGGAATGGTAGATTCTAAGACT